CTTTTGGAAGGAATTTGTAAGAATATTGCTTTGACATCGTTCGAAAAATCTAAAGTATTTTTTAGAAGATTTTTTTGTTAGGCAAACAAAATAAATTAAAGAGAAATTTTCCATTTATTTACTTGTTAATTAATTAAGTTCTTAATATTTATTATTAATAATATATAGTAAATATTTATTATAATATATATTATGAAGTCCTAATCATTTAGGAGAAGGATTACATAATATATATCTTGTATATTCACTTACCATATAAGCCACATGCATTAATGAGTTTGATTCTATGCCATAATTAGTTTTCTCTCTCTTGTAGGACAAGGAAGAAGTGACAAGGACTACGAAAGGATGAGCTATTCATACAAGAAGAATTCTGGACGTTCATGAGAAGATCTAAGGAGGATTTGGAAAGATTCACCACAAGATCTTTGAAGATTTGAAAGATCGGCTATTTTAGGAAAGTCGTGTGTTCTTACATCAGTCTGGGAACACAAAATTTCCTTTGGAAGCTCAATTCTGAAGATCTCCAAATCACATACACGAATTCTACATCAAGGAAACTTATTTTACATGAAGGATTTCGTCCAAAATAAAAAAGAATCAATTGAGAAGGAAATTGACTCCTAAAAGGTAAATGATAACCTTGTGAAGATTCCTTACCTTAAGGAGATCATATATAAGCCTACTCAAACAATCAATTGAGAGGAGCTGCTGCAATAATCGAATTCATCATTCATCAGATTCAATTGAGTGTTTGAGAGATTTTTATTCCTTTTATTTTGTTCATCACAGCACTTCAGCGTTCTTACATTGTTGACGAGCTGAGTTTGTTTAGTTTCTTTTTCTAGTAACAAACACTTTTTGAGTGCTTAGGGATTAAGTATTGGGTTTGCTCGAGGGATTCGAGTGTGTAAAGTCCACGGGACGTGGCCAGGGAAGTAGTTGATAGGATCGGGTATAGTGTTGGCTAGACTAGGAAGGAGTCCAAGTCGAGTAAGTCCAAACTGTATTTTGTGGGATGCAATCGGCCGATTGATCTATGAAAGAGTTCTGAGGGTTAGTGAGACGCTTTCCGAAGACATAATTTTTTATATCACTTCCGCTTTTAAATTTGTTTTTCTGTGTTGCAACACAATTTTGTAATACATAATTTTTGTGTTCTAACACAGTCTGCGTACTCTATACTCTCCCACCTTCGTTTCAGAATTGATACACGGAAATATAAGACTATATATATATATATATATATATATATATATATTATATTTTTTATTCATTTTTTGATTTATTTGGGGCCCAGAGGATTGTTTGATGATAGTAGATATTAATTAATTTGCAAATGAGCTGTTCCTTTTATTGTACGGGTTTTGATTTAGGGGATTGAGACGAAGCACAAACACAATACAACACAATAATTTTTTTAATTATTAAAAAAAGATAGGTTATAGAAAATTGGCATATGATATATCTAATACGATTCAAAATATGAAATAACATAAATGGTTTGACTATTGTTATTGTTGATTGTATTCATTTATTGTCTCTTATTATATTCCGAGGTGTAATATTAGAATGATTGAATACATATTAAGCACAAGTGCGTGCCTTATAAGTAACTTCAGCAGTCCTTTTCAAATTTCAATTTTCAAGTGAAATTACTTCAATGACGCGTGCTGTGTGCTTTGATTTATCAATTTTAGGATAATTACATGAGAGAATCTCTTTTTTTCCCTAGTTATGCTACTTTAACATATATTTTTTTATATTATTGATTAAATGATGTGTAGATATAAGAATTAATGATTTAAAGTTATTGTAATGTATAAAATTACAAAATCTTGGTACATATGTATTATGTCAAACCTCATGTTAACCATTGGATTACTGTAGCATTAAGTTTATATATCAATTTTGTGATGAAGTTACCGAGTGTAATGAAGGGTATGGAGATATTAGCAATCATATTGGCAAATACTATTTTGATCTATGCTTTAAAATAGTGCAATTAAGTGACTCCATAAATCTCCTAATATATATATATATATATATATATATATATATATATATATATAT